AATTAAGGCATACCTAAATCAGAGAACTTAAAGTGTCAGAAAGATAGATGCTGCAAATGTACAATAGGGGGAAGTATAAGATAACTTATACTTACTAGGTCATTACTAGGTCATTACTAGGCCTGTCAGGGTCAGTGAAAATAATGTTACCTGGCCTCAGTTTCTTAAAGGGGACAGACAGCACTCAGGGGTTGGGGAGGGGATGGGAAGTAAAAGGGCAGAGGTAGAAACATGAAATATATGGCAGGGAATCATTGGATTATATTTTGTAGTTAAATTTGTCAATATATTTTTTCATTACAAACATGATCTATTTCATTGATTTCCCTTTTTAGGGTACTTTCATATACAGATGTTCACTATAGAGAAATTAGGATTTTGGAAAATGGCTCTTTGTGATCCTAGAAATCTGATTCATTCAGGGAGGGTCTGTAAGGGTAAGTTAGTTGAAAGATAATTAGACCTAGATAGAAAATTGAAATTGCACGCTCAGTGACACACGTAAGCACTTTGAGAAATTTTTTTTTTTTTTTTTTGAGACCAAGTCTCACTCTGTTACCCAGGCTGGAGTGCAGTGGTGTGATCTCAGCTCACTGCAACCTCCGCCTCCCGGGTTCCAGCGTTTCTTCTGCCTCAGCCTCCTGAGTAGCTGGAACTACAGGTGCACCCCACCACGCCCAGCTACTTTTTGTATTTTTAGTAGAGATGGGATTTCACCATCTTGGCCAGGCTGGTCTCAAACTCCTGACCTTGTGATCCACCCACCTCGGCCTCCCAAAGTGCTAGGATTGCAGGCGTGAGTCACCGTGCCTGGCCAGCACTTTGAGAAATTCTATCTCCATTCCCCTGAGCTCAAAACTAGAGACAATACTGCCTCCTTAAGTAGATCACAGTTCAGAGGTTTAGAGGCATTAAAACTTGTGTTTTTCCTTCCTTTTCTCCAAAATCCCTGCTTTTGCTTTTTTATTCCTGGATACCTCTGAAGGTCAAGAAGCACAATTTTTCATGGGAATTCACTGAAATGAGCAAGTTAAAATACAATGCCTTGTGATATGCAGCTGCTTTTCTTAGGTATTAAACACAGTGTAGAATTTGTACATGCAAAGGGACCATCTTCATATTGTTAAGGATCATGAAAAGTTGACAACAGACTGACCACCTCCATCAGTCCCTGGCCCAGAGTAGACCCCCCAATAGATAGTTATTAAAGGAGTAAATTAAATACCAGCATTGTAATGCCTCCATGAATTGGAAGATTAAGTAAACATTAATAAAGAGGATGCCAGTCTATGTTTGTTATCAAGAAGAGATGCATATAGAATGATCTCATTTCGTTTTTTAAAAATAAAACCCCCCATGTAGTCCCAGCTACTCGGGAGGCTGAGGCACGAGAGGCATGAGAATCACCCAAACCTGGGAGGCAGAGATTGCAGTGAGCTGAGATCGCGCCACTGCACTCCAGCCTGGACGACAGAGCAAGACTCCGTCTCAAAATAAGATACATACTCCCCCTACACCCAGAATAATAATAAATTTAAAAAAAAGAAAAAAAAAAAAACAGAAAACAGCCCATCTGTCTATATTTGGGTGAGATTATAATAATAGCCCACAGATTGATTTCCTTGTTCCATTTCTGCTGCCCTCTAATCCATTCATCATGTAGCAGCCAAAATGAGCCTTCTGAAAGAAGCAAATCAGACGGTGCCTCTCCATGGATTAAAGCCTTTCATTGACTTTCCCCTGCTCCTAGACACCAACGAAGGTTCTTTGTGATCTGCTGGATCCTGCATGATCTGGCTCTGGCCTGCCTCTCCAACCTTGCTTTCCACAGCCTTTCCCTTGCCTCTGGCTTCCTTCCAGTTTCCTAAAATTCGCCAAGCTCCCTCTGCTCTAAGGCTCAACTAGCTGCTTGACCTGCCTAAAATGGTCTTCATCCTGAGTTTCACAGGGTTAGACCTCCTTAATCAGGCCTTAACTTAAATGCCACCTCCTCAGTGAGGTCCCTTCCTTCAGCTGACTTCATTTACCACCACATCATTCTTATTTTCTTCATTGCTCTTGACTGTTTGAAGCAATTTGTTTGCTTGTTGTGGATTTTTCCCATGAAAACATAAATACTGAGGGTAGGTACCTTGTGTGTCTTGTTTATCATTGTGCTCCCAGCTCCTCACTGCAGATGATCAAGGAATAGTCAATAAATGAGGAAAAGTATACAGGGTTAGACCTCAAAATATCAATAGCGATCATCACTAGGAGGAAGATTTTGGGTGTTTTTAATTTCTTTTCTTTTCGTTCATTTTTATTGCCTAATTTTTCTGCAAAAATCATCTGTTGCTTATATAATACTTTATCAGTTACTCCAGTGCTTAGCCAGGCTTAAGGAAGTAGTTTTAAGGATTGCAGACAGCGGCAGAGAATGCGTTGTCTGCATACTTGATGCTGTGCAGTGGGTGCTGAATAAACATTTGCCAAATCCATTGAAATCTTTATTCTATGGGAAGATATTCCCCACAAAGTTCTGTAGTTAGTTGCCCACCCATATATTTGTGTGGGAGGCAAGTGCATGATGTACAGCAAGGTACAGATGCGGAGCTCTGTCTCCCGGGTTTCTGATCCTTATCCCCAGTCGTGTTCTTTTCTCTGGCAATCATGGAGTTATTTTGCTCCGGGGAAAATCCATTATAAACAGCAGCACATGGGGCACTAGAGTGTGATTTGCTTCAGTACACACTGCTTTTTTCAAAGATAATGTGGAGCCTGTAGTTCCACATATAACTGAGAGACTGGCTGATGAACTGTCTGCCTGTCTTGTGGGGAAAAAAAAATCTACAATATAGTATATATATCCTTTTTTCCAAGTCACTTTAACAGTAACTTGGCCAATAACAATTCTATTTATTAATAGCTTTACATTTTAGAAGTCCAATAGCAATAATAATTATGGTCTTAAAAGCAAAGTTATTTCTTGCATGTATTTTTTTTTTTCAAGTTAAAGGCTAACCCAGTAAATTGCACCCCATTCATCTTAGTGACTTAGAGCACTTATTTGGGCTATTAAGCAGTTGAATAGCTGTCTTCTAACTCAACAAAAGCAGGTTTTCCTTAGCTATGATACTGGATGGTTAAGGCTTTCATTCCTTTGTGAAGTCCATAACCTGTGTTTTAACTGTAATGTTACATTCTGGAAATCTGTGCAAATTGGGGAAGGTGGGGGAGGAAAGGAAGTAATCCAAGAGTAGAAAACATAATAACTAATTTAGAGAGAGAGAGAAGTTATTTTAAACATCAAAATAATTTTTTTTCACTTAGATTTCTATTGCTTTACATTGAGAAGATTTGGTTAGCACCAGAGCCCTGTAATATTATGTGCATTTCATATCCATGTAGCTTAAGTCTGACTAACTTATGTTCTTCACAAATTTAGGTAAAGGCAGCTAAGCAAAGAGTGAGGAAAACTTGTTTTATTATTTATATTACAAATGCTGAGCAATTCATAGGGAAAAAAAAAACCACTCATTTTTCTTCAGTGCTCTGTTAGAGTAGTCCTGGGAGGCACGTGTCAAGAGTTGTAGTAACTGACGTTCAAAATCTCCTAATGGAATGGTGCAACAGACTAGATTGATTCTAGAGCACTATCCAAATGGAAACTGCTTAGCTACTGTCCATTTGAAAATAGGCACTGCTTAAAGAACAGCACTTCATACTATGACATGTGAACATTTCTGATTGCGTGTGGTTATAATAGCTTGTATAAAAGCTGAGATGGAAACATCTTTGTAACCATGTGGTCTCTTCACTCCCACGGAGATCTTATTTTTTATAGTTTCTTGATTTTTCTCTAACCTTCCCAACCCTAGCCCCTTCTTTGGCCTCACAGAAACAGGGTACGCCCAATGGAATCATCCCAGGATATTTTTGATTAGATGAGCAAAGACAACTGTGAAGAAAAGTTGACTTATCTGGTAGTTGGAATACGGGCCCCAGAAAAAGCAAAGTTGTAATGTGTGTAAATGTTGTTTGGTGTGCGACGCCAGAGGAGGAGGACAGATCCCAGTGACACTGTGCACCAGAAGGATGCCGCCTGCTTGGCTAAAAGACCCAGCAGTAGGGCCAGCTATTGTAAAGCCCCTCCGCCAAATGAACAGGGACCCTTCTCTGGTCACAATAGCCATTCATGCTGAGCAGCTTCATTAAATATTCAGCCTGTGCTTCCGGCAGCTCATTAGGGCCGCAATGAGCAGTGACGTGGATGCAGGAAAGCTGAGGGCCAGCCAGCATCGGAGGCAGAGGCTGAGTGAGCTGCTGATGGCTTCTCTCTTCATTGCCTGTCCTATGATGACCAGTGTGTGCTCTCTGCTTTGCTTGAAATACAGGTAAAAAAAAAAAAAACAAAAACAAGCAGATGACACTTAAGGGCTTCAAGACCTTGTCTCAGATATTGTCTGGCAAGGGCCTCTGATTCTGAGTGCTTGCCTTCGTGAAGCCCTCTGACCCCTTTAAAGAGCTGTCTGAGGCTTTGGGGGCCTTTGCTAAGCATGAACAATGTGGTGCTATTGTGTACTTGGGCTGTTTGATGACGATGTTGGAAGGGGATACAAGGTGTGGTTTTGAACTTGGTGTTGGGGATTTAGAATAGCAAATTATTCCTCTGTAACATATCAAATTTAGAAATATTGTGAGATAACCCTAGCAGTCTTGTGTGGTAGGTTTACTCTCTACCATGTTTTCACATATTTGAGTAGTTAAATACTAAGCCTTTCCCTTTGAACTATCAGGTTGGATACAGTGATGATAAAAAAAAAAAAGGATATTCTTTAGCAATTTGGGGCCCCTCCAACAGGCTGAATGTTGTCCTTGTATCTTGTTACTTTTACATGAGTTCACCCTCAGTGCTGTGTGATGTTTAAAGCTGGGAAGGTCTGTAAAATAAGAATTAAAAGATGATGAACTCAGATAGCGCATATCCTATTATTGACATGGTTTTTCTCTTTTCTACACAGAAAATGTTTTCAGACTGCTCATTTCTATGTGGAAGACAGCAATTCACCTCGAGTGGTCCCTAATGAAAGTATTCCTATTATTCCTATTCCGGGTAAGTAAGACACTGCTCTTATTTCCAGTGGGCTAATTGTTTTTCTCTTTTCTCAGTTTTGTGTGATAAAACAAGAAAATATTATTTTACAGCCTTTTAAAGCTTGCCTAGTATAAGATATCCTTAACTAAGAGTAATTTAATGAATACTCCTTTACATATCTGCAAAGTAATAAAACTCTCTTTAGAGGAACAAATAACTGAGTTAATGTAGTATACAGTCATATGCAGGAAAGGAAAGTACAATAGAAAAAAGGGAAAAACTATACAAAAAACATTCTTAGTATCTACTTGAACTAAATTTCATTTGCATAGGCAATTTGTGCTTATATTTTTAAATCACAATTTGTGACACATTTTTTTAAAGGTGATATTTTTCTAAGATTCTTTCCTCTGAAAATCATGTATCTTAATGTTGAAAGTTTTGGTTCTTATGGTGGTTGTGTGGAAATAGAGGGGTACATTACTAGTCTGGTGAATATTTCACTTTTCCTCTGGTAAAAAGATAAAACACTTGGTTAGTGTTGGGGTAGGGAATGGTGGAGTGTACACTGTAGTGAATCCTAGCAAATGCCTTAGACATTTAGAAGTTCAGCAGTGGGTTAGGTGTAATAGGATGTGGGATTTGAAGATCTCACCCACCATTTCTATTTGGCATCCCTTCTCGTTTGCCAGATTTTAACTTTCTACATCCTGGTTTCATTATGTGCTTCCAAATACGTATCTTCAGATATTTTAGATACATCTATCCTCTTGACATTACTCTTTTGCAAACAGAAGCATCACTTTGATTATAATGCCACCCATTCTCCACACCTGAAGCTCCCCCATCCTGCTGATCTGCCCTATTCTCCATAACGCTTTCCACCAACTAATGTGCTATTTATTTTACTTTTTTTTTGCTCTCTTCCCACTACAATGAGAGCTTTGTAAGGGCACGTGGCTATATTCTCAGTGCTAAAATAATTCTTGGCACACAGTAGGTATTCTTTAAGTACTTAAATGAGTGAACGTTAGAAAAATTTCCTTAAAGTTCTTAAAAGGTCTTGGCTGTGAAACTCAGAGGTACAGTCATTCTTTGGGTACCATGGAGAAATACTTCTATTGTTTGCAGATTGTCACTACGTGTGGTTATGGTTGTAGACTGAATTGCCCTGTTATGTGTCTGTATATTGCTTAGTCATTAGATATTACTGGGATTGTCCATGTTTTGTACATTCTAATCAGTTTTCTCACTAAAACTTGTCACACAGAAACAAGAAGATTAACAGAAGGTCTCTGATTAAGTTCCTGTTGGATCCTTTTGTGGCTGCTAAACTAATTCCCATAAAGATGGGATAAGTTTTGTGTTACTGTGTGTTCTCCACTAACCCTGCCCCTTTATCCTTGCTGAAGGAAACTACTTTTCCTTTGAGAGTAGAGAAGGCAGACAGCAATCATCAGTCTTCATCAGCATGAAATAGTTTCATTGAATCTACTGGATTTGCACAATAGTATGCATATACTTTTTCCTCTTGCTTTACCTACAGTATGTGTTGACCACTGGAAAATTCATGGCAGTCTTTCTCCCCTCTGACCTGATTTGTCTGACAGACTCAGTTGTTTCATAGCTGTGTAATTGAAACCCATTTTTAATGAGTTAAATGGTGAAATACTTACTGGGCTGTTTTTCCATTTCTATTTTCTTTTACCACTGGATTAGGAACCAGAAAACCTAGGTCCACCCTGAAATCTTTGTTCAGTGCCTTAACCTCTCTGAGCCTTAGTTTCCAGAATCCGTAAATTAAATAGGATGCCTGTTCTCCTTGCCTTTTGAGGTAACTGTTAAGACCACAGTAGATGATATGTGTAAAAGCACTTTGGAAACCATACATTAAGCCAGAAGTGTAAGCTGTTGCAACTTTCCTTCCCAAATCATGGTACTCCTAATCCCAGCAGTCATGGAGAGAGAGCATTTGCATGACTCTCATGTTAAAATTGTGTCCCTAACACCGAACTACATCCACCAGGTGTGCTCCACCTTGAATCACTCTTCTTTGATATAGGCTTTAGAACTTTTAATTCACTAGGATCCTCTGAATATGCCTTGCCACACCTTTGAGAAGGTGTCTTAGACCAGAAATTGCTTCTGAATGTTTTCTGTTTCATTCCCATTACCTATTTAATTAAGAAGTTAAATACTCCACTTACATTTTAAATGTAAGGCAGTGTGATGTTAAAGGGCTTACCTAGTGAAATGATGAGGGAGGCTAATCTGCTTTCTCAGGTCTTCATAGCTAACATAGCCTTACTAGGAGCATGCCTAAACAAATGAACTTACTTCACCCTTAATTGAGAGTTACCCTAAATGACCTTTCCTTAAAGAGCTTTCAGCTTGATCATAATCTCTTAGCTTGGTAAATAAAACCCCACAGTCCTATTTAATAGTTACATTTGGAAAATATTTTAATTCACAAAGCACTTTTTAAACAACTCATTGTTCTATTCTTTAGGATTTCTTCTAGTTACAGCAGTACAACTGTGTCTCATATAAGAAAAACACAATTCGGCCGGGCGCGGTGGCTCAAGCCTGTAATCCCAGCACTTTGGGAGGCCGAGACGGGCGGATCACGAGGTCAGGAGATCGAGACCATCCTG